CCTCAGTGCATTTCTGTATAAATTTTGCAAAGTCATTATTTTTGTCACTTTAGTTGAATTGATTATTTCCTGCTCATTTCAAGATAAAACTCTAAATAATTTTTCATGAAATGCAATTACTATTATAACATTTTTCTCAGTGTACCTGGAACTACAGCCTAGAAAGCCTGATGTCCACAGCAGGAAAAATGGTAAAAAATTATACTTGAACCATGAAAATAATGGACACATGAATAAATACTAGTAAAGAGGAAAGAATGAACTTGGCTTTCTGGAGTCAAATAGTTTTTCACAAATCTCTTGGACCTCTCTAGATCAGCTCTTAATTTTTCTATTACATGTAATCTTCATAGATCTCTTAATACACAGAATGCTCTATATGATTTCTTACATTTCACTAAATACATTTTCAAATGTCAGTTAACTCATGGCACAAACAAATGTGGCAGAAAGTGACAATTAAAAGATGTAAAATTCAGTTATTTGCTCACAACTTTCTATACTAACTACATTTTAATGCTATTGCTTTACTATTTCTTTAACTTACTTGCTCTACAGTTCATGTTCCTTTTTTTTGTTTGGTTGGGGTTTTTTTCCTTTGCTTAATCTGTGTGTTTCATATTTAGAAATCTGGTGTCTAGGATTGTGGTTCCAAAAATCCTTTACTTCAGAAACAAAACTCTGAAACACTACTTTTTTTCTGGTCTGTGTGTGTCTAGATGTCTTTTGATCTATTCTTTCTCAAGTGCAACACTACAGTAAGTAATAAAAATAAAAATAGAAACTGGATGAAAAGCAGAAATTATTGTGAGAACCAGGTAGAACATTAGAAAAAATGTGGCACAGGCCAGTTTATGTTTTTCAGTGCGGGGAGTTTGCTAAACAAAGACTTTCAAGATTAACTTTATTATTCAATATTCCTATTTTCCATTTGCTATATTTTCATGGTTGCACTCAACATCTCAGATAACCCTCTCCTTTCTAGAGGAATCAGGCCTGGAGGTAAGCACTGAGATAACTTACAGGCAATCAGAGAAAGAAGCATGGAAACCACTGGGGAGGAAGAATTGTGAAGGAATTACTTTGCAACCAGTCCAAACTTATAAAATTGCTCATTTGAGGATAATTTTTATCTGTTTATTTTAAAAACTCAGTGTTTCCTAGGTGAGGAAGAATTGTGAGTCTTTTAATGGCTATCAGTTACATGCCATATGCACCATTATTTTACTGCAGCATTTACCATCCAGTTACCTAAAGTTTATATATTTTTGATACAACTACCTACCTGTGTTTCCAAATATATTCACAGTTTCACGTTTTGCTGCTGTCTTTACAAATGAAAAACAGTTCCACAGATAACCTCCTCATATAACTAAGATCTTCCACAGAGTTATTCATACTGTATGGTTTGAGAGATTGCTATGTGCTGAATTAAACCATTCTTTTTGAGTTAGACAAAACCTGTCTAACTCATGCCATTTAGAATGCCAAATTTCTGAAACAGATATTCCTCCAGTGTCTTAATAAATTGTGCACATTCATTGAGGAACTCAAATACTTTCTGTCTCTTTGTAAAACTCCACCTTCTTTAAAATCTTAACAGAGTCTTCACTTTTTACAAAACAAGGAAGAAGTTTGTTTAAAAGTACTTTCACGAGACTATTCACGAGTGGGAATGTGAACCCGCACGAGGTGAACCTGCTGCTCTAGGAGCAGGGAAGCCAGAGCTGCTCCTGCATCACCATCTAGTGGAGAAGAGCCCTGCTGCCCATCACACAGCTCTCGAGCTCCATCCTGACTGAACTTCAATTGATAGATTGCGCATTACCTCCTTTAGCTAAATCTTTATGTCCAGACATCAACTAATTTCCAGACAGGAGGCTGGAACTTACATCTAAGTATGTTCAAAGTAACAACCTAAGACTTCTCAATACCTTACCTTTTTTAGTCTTTTGCCTCTCTCGACCAAAACATTCACTGTATTTTTTTTTAATGTAATAAATGTCATGTTTGGAGGTAAAAAAAACTATAATCTGTTACCTAACTGTCATTTGGAGTAAAAATTAATCACAAAGAATGGGTTTCTTGCAAATTAATGAGCCATTAAATTAGGCTAATTATTTTAGGGAAATAAAACAACTGGCACAATTTGCTCAATTCCTGAAACAAGGACAAGAAGGCACTACTGGAAAAATAATGTCTATGGGGTAAGCATTCAAAGAACAGAGAAAGATTTCTAACACTTATTATCCTTTCTTATGATATTAAAGCAGTAAATCTAATGCAATAAAAAGGGAAATAGTAAGGGAAAAATTTGATTCCAAGACAAATTTTACATCCAGTAGGGCTAATATTTAAAAGCTATATTGATATTTTCAGTGACATTAGAGGGACATGGCAACTATTCTCAACATTTTACTGGGGCTGAGGTATCGTAGTGTATGTACTTCCAATAGATTTCAGCTATTAAATAGCGTGATGTATATCTTCACAGATCAGTGTAGCATTTAGGGTTTTTTTCCTGACCTAATTGTGTATTTTCATACCTAATTATATTCACAGAACTACAGAATGGGTCAGGTTGGAAGGGCCTAAGTGCATCATCTAGTCCAACATCCCTTCTCAAGCAGGCCACATGGCACAGGATTGTATCCAGTCTTAGATATCTCCAGTGAGAGAGACCACAATCTCTCTGGGCAATCTGTTCCAGTGCTTGGTCACTGCACAGTAAAAAAGTTCTTCCTCATGTTCAAGTATAATTTCCTGGGCACCACCACACTCAAAGATCCCCCCCCCCCCAATATAAAAACAACAAAACCCAAAACCAAAGAATTGTAGCCATCTTGCAGGACTGTAGTGTTACAGTAAAAAGCACATTTCTACCTAGAGAGTGGTCAGGAGGTCAACAGAATCAAACACCACTTCAAAAGTTCCCAGTGCTCACAACACTTTGTGGTACAAAAAGGAAGGCCCCTAGGTTTGATTGAAGACAAGCAAACAACAAAATTCACTAGGTGAGTACAATAGCCTATTTTACACATTCTTTTAAGTACTCATCCAGCTCTAAGCAGCCATTACTCATTTGCAATGTTTTAAACAAAATCTTGCACTTTATTGTTGTTATTTTGCAAAATGAGTTTTCCTTCTACTTTCACTTTTGAAGACTGTGTTTGCAGTTGGACACCATGTGTGCATTCTAGATTAGATAGCCAAGACTGATGTTGAAACATAAACAGAAAGTGCAAAACACTTTTCAGACAAGAAGTTATGCAGCGACAATAAATTTAAATATTCTAATGTCTAGTATGTTAAAGGAAAATATGATATCAATATACATGATTTGTCGAACAGCTGTACAAGTAACTCACCTTGCTTGGCCTTAAGCAGAAAAGGAACTCAAATTTGTAGATCCATTCATATCACTTGGGAGGTTTCTGGAAAAAGCTCTCCTGTACTCATGCAACTTCAGAAGTTTTTCTGCCAGAAGTCATTCCACATGTTCCTTGCTACCAGTGAAGGCCTAATAATTGATAACTTGGATTACCTTTAATATGTCGGAGTAATATTGCCAATTTCCTCCTGCATTTACTTTAAGCTATATTCCTTCCCTTCTTCCTAAAAAATGTAAGTGGCTCTTGCCATAAAGTTCAGTATGATTCAAGCCATTATCCTGTGAGAATCAGAGAATAAAAGAGAAAGGAAAGAAAAAGCATGGTTCTGAGAAGGAATATGGACCTGGAAAATTTGTCAAAGATGGAAGATACTGAAAAGAAAACATTTAATTTTAGGCGTTAACATTTGTGTAAACACCACAGGGACGCAGTAGTATGACCCTAGGAGATAAAGTGAGGAAGGGAAATGGAATTTCTGGTATTTAATATGGCAATAGACTGAAGAGGCTAAGAATTGAGAAGAAGGTTATAGGGGTTTTAGATGCTTTTATTTTGTTTAACAAACTTTTTGAGGGATTGAACTGCCACTTGAAGTTAAGGAGAAGCAGAAGCTGAGAAATAAGGAATAGTAAGGAAAAAAGACTAACTCTAGAAATTTCAGCTAAATGACCCTTTGCATTATTTTTAAAAGTAAGTACAAAATTTACAATTTTCTTTAATCTCCCAGCAGCTGCATTTGGGAACCACCACTGGATGTCAAAATCCCATACCATCTTACCTTAGATATTTAAGTGCTTAAATTGGGAAAGACAGGTTGGGACCCAAGCTCTCAGAGTCAGGACACCTCCATTTCTCCACTTATTGCTGAAGAGAAGAGCTTCTGAGAGGTGACTGGTAGGAAAAATGCATGCTAATGTCTTTACAAACAATTCTATGGGTGAAAGAATGGGTATTAACATCTTAGAAATGGGTCTTAATATCTCTACTGACTTCAGGCCGCAGGCTTGTTACAGATCCCAGACAACTTTACTCCTGACACAGGCAAGGGTCTGCTCTAGCCTCAACTTCCGAACTTTGGGGTAAAATGTATAGGTTCAAGGGGGAATATGTGGTAGGTGGTTTGGGAAGGCTGTGCCTTCTTAAGACCTCAACCAGTGGGAGAAAGAAGAGGGCAACATGCGGCCGGGAGTTTAGGGTAAAAGAAGGCTGTATCCTCTAAATTCTCGAGAGAGAAACCTCGTGGCTGTGCCTGGGTGGACTCGCTCCCATTATGTGCATGAAGTTGCAGGACCCCTCTGTCTCCTTTATGGACACTGGCTTTTCATGGCGTGATTTTCCGTACATGCCTGAGCCCACCTGAGGAAAGCAGACGATGCTTGGTCTGCAGGGATGGGGAGATTGCTCACCTGGACAGGTAGGCGCCATCCATACAGGGTCTACAAAATTCTCTACCGGGAATCATAAAATAAAACAAACCAGCAAACAAACAAACAAACAAGACAACACCACCCCCCCCACACACACCCCCCTTAGTTTACCTATTCACTATTTAAATATTGTCACACGTTTCCACAACACCTACGAAGAAGACATGTTGGAAGACTTTATCAGATGGCATTTAAGGCCATTTTGCAGGTGCGGGGTCGCTGCCCCCGCTTCACACTGCCTGTCTGAAGTGTGTTCACTACCCTGACCTGCCCGCGGTGCTCCAGCGCAGCAGACGCCGAGGCTGAACCCCACTCTGCCTCCGCCAGGCGGATTCTTTGGGATCGGCAGGAAAGGGTTAAAGCGGAGCGTCGGCGCCTGGAACGCGGCGGACTGTTCCATTACCTCGAGAGGGGAGACACACTTACACATTGCCACATATTCGCTATCAAATAATGTTAAGACTCGGAAAAGAAAGCTACAACAAGTCGTTATAAAGCATGAGAAACAGGTTTGTGAGTTAAAAGGGGTGAACCTGAGGTAAAATCCTGAGGGCACCTGTCTTTCCTCCTGCGTGGGCGAGTTGCGCTCAGCCCGGTCTGAGGGAGGAGGCGAGGCGGCACCCCGGTAGCGTGTCTGGGGCTCACAGGGCACTTTAGGAGTTTTAGATACACTTTAATTTCTCCTTTCAGCATCGCTAGAGTTTTCCTCTTCCCCGGCTGCTTGTAAGAGGCCTTGTTTGCCTAAGCGGGACTGGGAGGAGAGGGTGAAGGGCGGGCAGGGAAGCGGTGACGGCAGGAGGGCTCTGAGGTGACAAAGGCGCGGGTAGCGGCCGGAGCAGCCCGGCTGCTGCTCGGTCAGGGGGTCCGCGGCTTTCTTTAGCTCAAATAACGATAGAATCGGTCGCGCCGAGCCCCGTGGAAGAGGTGTGACAAACAGGTTTGGGAGTCCTGAGCACAAACGCCGTAACTCGGCCGGATTTCACCGGCGGTGCTGGAGAGCCGGGGCTGAGATCCGCCCCAGGCACTTCGGGAACAGGCGGAGGGCGTCCGCACACATCCGCTCACACCAGTGTTTTGGGGTGTCTTAGAGACATTGTCTGTGTTCTTCAGGACCGACTTAATATGTCAGTGTATGGGGGAAAAAAGCGCCTTTTATTTATTTTTTTTTTTTTAACTATTAATGGTAAGAATTAAGAAAGAAAGGTTCTTACGTCTGCACCTTGGCAGAGGGAAACTGAGGGTGCTTCAAGTCTTATGAAGGAACTGGTTTAAAAGCAGCTATTAGTGATAGAAAGCTTTCCATCATATTAAAAATATTTCTGTGGAATCATAAGCATGGGCAGTGCTTCCCAGGAAACTATAAAATGCCAAGCCCACTCCCTTTGAGAAACTCTGAAACTTAAAAGCAGATCAAAACCACACAGCATCAACAAATTTAGTGCTTACAGTGAGGGAAAAGGGGGGATGTTGTCTTCAAGAAGCCAAATTCATTTTTGTAAAGTATTTTATTCTGTATTATTTGTTAAAAGATTTCTTGTCTGCCTAGTTATTCTCCAGTATACTGTGGTAATATAGTATAGATGGAGAATCTACATATTTCAGATAAATATATGAGACATTGAGCTACTTTATAACCTGGGTCCCTCTGGCGTGCAACAGTGAAACAGCACCGGGAAGTGTGCTTTAATCGTTATTCCTTCTCTGGGCTTTTTTTTGTGGCTAAATAAGGATCTCAGTGCACCAGACTAGCAACTCAGAACCTTTCCTGAGCTCTACATTACCAAAAATAGCGTTTAATTAAAAAGTTGCTGTATGTTTTTGCAATCAAAAGCATATATGTGTTTTTGAAGTGTATATGCTGGAGAAAACCTACTGGATCAATGGTACTGTAAATTTTTTGCTTGGCACGTAAAGAGTTCTAAGAGCTTATCCTTAAAAATTCTGCAGGTGGAACCCCCCCATCCCCCACAAAATTCCTAGGGGCAATAGTTAAATATTATTCTACAGCTACCTAAGCATGTAGTTGTATTCCTATGGCCATGTTATTACAGCTCTATAACTTCCCAGAAATTACATAAGAAATTTTCTATTTCAGGCATTTTGACAGCAGTAAATAGCATTTTGAATGAAATTTTTGGTAACTGGACAGATTTTATCTATTACATGTGAAGAACACCAGCCATAAAGAAGTCTCATATAGACATTTCTGAACTGCTTTTTGAAGAGTGTAAACTGGTAGAGGCCTGGTAATAAAATCTTCATTTAAATATACACAATTTTATTGTTGGGAGGGAAGATTATTAAAGGAGTGAGAAGGAGGAAGAAGGTGTAACTGCTAAAGTTAATCAGTTTGGTAGATCTTGAATGTTCAGCTGTTACACGGTTTTATACTAACTTCATAACACCATGACGACCACAGGAATGATATGTAACACAATGTCCATCGTAATGAAACAAAGCCTCACAGCCAGGCCATCAGACATGTATGTGACACTCCTTCCCCATAAGCCATGTTATATTTTTGAGTTAATCATCAACAGTAAAGAAATACCAAGGATTTTTCTCACTTTTGAAGTTCTAGATGGAATTTATGAAAATATATGAAAGCTAAGGAGATGATAAGGATATCATGACTAACTAAAATAAAACATACTTCCCAATAAAATTCAGATGGACTAGAAAAACTGCATTTACCTCTAAAAAACTAGTTTTTGAAACCAAAACAAACTCCCTAAACATCTGTCTATCACTAATTTTATATTATCAATTTTTCATTAAATTTAATTCTAAAGGAAAGCTCAGATATGGGTAACAAGTCTACTTGGCATGCCCCTAGGCTGGACAGTTAACTTCAGTACTTCCGAAGTTTATGAGGCAACATCTGAGTTTAGCAATCTGAAAAGTAATTTGCAGACAATAATAAACATAGCAGAACATTTACATTTTAAAATTAAAAAGAAAAATTGCACTAACTAGTCTAAATGAAGTTTGGTGTGAAAAAAAAATTTTAAAAGGAAAGATCAATTTTTGTGACAGTTTTCATGTAAGTACTTTTTGTGCTATCCTATAATTTAAACAGAAATTTATAGCATGGCTTTTGCAAATAATCTCTTTGACAGCAGATTATCCCTTATTTGATTGAACATTCTTCAGTCACAAATTCCTTTTCTATAGTATTAAAATGGAATACCCACCAAAGTCAGTTTTTCATTCACTTTCAACTCATAGTGCATTCTTCTTTGGGCATTTGACTATTCTGTAAACACAATTTAGAAGAAAAAAAATAAACCCAGTAAAAAAAACCTAACGATTCTTTAAGTGAAGCAGATAGAGATTCACATCATGGATTATTTTGCCAATGAAGAAAAATCAAAATAGGAAAATAATATAAGGACATTTATATGCTGCCTCTAACCTTTGGGAGCGAATAAGAAGGAAACAATCCAAAACATTAGGGAAAATACAACCTAATGGCAGAGAAAATATAAACATTGCCCAAGGAAATACAGGAGGAAAAAAGCACTTTAACCAGAGGAGAGTAGTCACTAGTGTAGCCTGGGATAAACAAAATACTTTCTTAAGTCTGGAAAAGAGGGGAAACAGCAATGGAAGGTATGAAAGTAATGAGTAAGTTTAGGAAAAAGTCTAGCGAATGAAAGTATATAGAGTATTTTGTGGTGCACATATTTTCCTGACAGGGAAATTCATATTTTGAAAGTTGCCAGGTTATTGTAATTTAAGGATCTATTTAGAAGGCAACTGTCTTTAAAATTGGTAGCGTATTCTTACTTAATTTGACTTGGTTAGTGCAGTGTCTCTGGTCAGAAAAAATAGATGGCTTCAGATGTTTTGATGAACTCTATTTATAAAGACTGTGTGTTCATTATTTTCCTCTGAAACCATGTGAATGTTTCACTCAAGGTCTCAGCTCCTTTTTGGTTGATAGTCATCTTGAATCTCACTTGCTCTGCTTTTCTTACAGCTACATTCCCAGGGTTTGCTCAGGCCTGTGCATGGGTATCTGTGGCTTCTCTGCATCTGTTTCTATGGCATTTTACATCTCTTTTTCTCACATATGCCTATCCCTCAAATATCCAACAAAACATGTGCCAGCCACTTGTGTCTTTGTTTTTGGTGGTGATGACATGCACCCATGTTCTTGTGGAATCTGGCTCTCTTTTTTTCAGAAAGTTAAACTACTTCTTACGGTGATTTTTGAAGAGCACTGCCTATGACAATTAGCTGTAATGCATTTTATCTAACAGCAATTTTATGGATAACAGACCACGTTAACAAATTGAACCCAGCATGGAAAACATACTAGCAATAGCACAGGTATACAGATCACAGCTTCCTCAGGAGAGTCACTATTATTTTTCATATGAGTACTTGCACTGGAATGCAATCAACAGTGGAAAAAGTTGGTAAACCTACAAAATGTACAATAATAATTCAAAACTACAAATTAACAATGTTGTGTACACTAGTGGTCTTTCATTATCATCACAATTTTAAAATTATTTCCACTTACCTATAAGCTTTAAGCAAACTGCTTATGCTTAGTGTGTTATTTTTTCAAGTGTATACCTTTGAGGCAAAAATTTTCAATGGTGAATTCATCTTTTAATATATGAATTATGTTTAAGAAACCTGATGAAGTTGAACATGTATTTTCAACTAGTGGGAGGATAAATACAGAAATGTAAACATCAAAACCAGGAATTTAAATACATCATGACTGAGAAAAGGACATTTTCCAAAATAGATAATTTTGACGTGATTTTTAAGCTGTGTCATCCAGCCAGAGACATATATTTACATTTAATTTGAGCTTCTCCATGTCAGCATCTCAATTTTCTGGACCATTTATTGTCCCTGTCAAAAGTTTAAACAAAAATTTTAAAAAGGTTTTGTGCTTCAGAATGCACAGTATTGCAAGTATGTGAGAAATTAAATAAGTGATAAATTTATACTGCTTTCTGGTTTGCTAATGGAGCACCCACACATCTTCTAAAGTCCTGACAAAGGAGATGCAGTGCTATTTGTCCCTGTGGCCATACTTAGAAGCAAATTTCCAGCACATGTCCAGCTACATTAAAAAAAAAAGATGAAAATAAAAGTTATAAATTGAATACTCAGCATTCAGAAAGTAACAGATTATGTTTTATTTATCCTTACTCATTTTCTTTTCTTATCTTAAAATCAATAAATTAGGCTTCAGAAGTCATTTTCATTACAAATTGATGCTGACAGCCTTAACTCAAAGGAGTGCAAAAGTTACTCGTACTTATTTCATTTTATTGCACTATATTGCACAATCTCACTGTAACATCCTTTCATAAAGGCCACAGGATGTCTAAACCAAGAAGGACATCTGCTACAGGTTAGAAGTCTGGTTTAGACACTGTGTAGGACTTATTTTAAAATGTCTTCATATGAACAAATATCTCAACTGATAGCCAAATTTCAAACAACTTTCTTTTATCAGGTTACTGTATCAGATCATTAATTGCTTGACTAAATAAATAATTAGAAATGTGAATGTGATTTATCCCTAGATGGGGAGCTACAGTTTCTTCTTACCTTCCTTTTGTCAAGTCACTTTGAAAATACTGCTTTAGGTGTGTCTATAAAATGCAACATAATTGGAACAGGCAGGGACATTGGAAATAATCTGTCTAAAGATTGCACATTAAAGTGTTTGAACAGACATTGGCACAGGCTCAAAGCATGCCAGCTTGCACTTTCCCAGAAAATTCCTGTGCACAATTTAGGCATTAGTATTAGTCACGAACCATTCTCAATGGGTAAAAAATACATGTGACTATCCTGGGTAAAACATGGAACATTATGTGGCTACAAGCTCCAATGCCAGAGAACAGTCCCAGGCATGTTTAACCTGATATTTATATGTAGCCATTTCATGCTTTGGCTGAGGATAATTAACACTTCTGAAAAATAGGAAAGTTCTCTCTTCCAAGGAAGCAGTTTTTAAAGGCCTGAGCCCAAGGCACTTCTTTTAACATACGCTATATAGATAAGCATATCTCTGTTTTAAATCTTCCTTTTCTGGCAGGTTCATTAAAAATGGAATGGCAAGGCATGTTGTGATATTCTCAATTTTTTTAATGCATACAAATATGACGTTTTGAATGCAGAGCTGAATATAACAGCCCTTAAGACCAATTTTAACTTCTGTCTTTTGCCAGAAGATGACTGTCCACATTTATTTGCTGGCCTGTGAAGTTCTGTATTTATTTAGTTTTACCTCTTAAAAAGTGTAGAAAGAAAAAAAAAAAAGCCTGAATATTTTTGTATTTCTCTCTTAAATTTTTCCATAGTGGGCCTCAACAACAGTCTTGTAGGAAATTGAACAGTATTTCTGATGTGGCTAACATGACAGTAAGTTGTCCTCCCAGTGCCTAGACAAACCAAGACAATTGAGAGAATAGAGTTATATAATGCTCAAATTATGAACAAAAAAAACAACCTCCCCTCCCAAAAAACCCCAAACAACAACAACAAAAAAAAACAAAACCAAAAACTAACCAAACAAATAACAAAAGAAAAAAAATCCCAACCAAACCAAAAAACCACCACAAAAATTATAGGAAATCACAGCATGTATCAGGAATGATACCTGCTTCCTTTCTGAAGTCCAGCAATGGTGAGAAAAGGACCTAAAGAATATCATTGGCAATGTGCAACTGATCATGTATCTTCTCTAAAAAATCAGCTTCTGTTAGATCTGTTTTTATAGCCCTGATATAACAATTCTGGGACAATCTTGTCCAGCAGTCTATCATTGGTCTTTTTTCAATTATATAATTGAATATTTGCCTTATTGAATATATGAATAATTGAATATGTGTCTTATTATTACACATATTTTGTAGTCTAAATTACATGTTTTAATTTTCTTTATTTTAACTATATTCAGAATCCCTAGTACTTTGCATAATTAAGAGTTTACTTTAACATTCAAATGAAACTACCAGAATTTTGTCTTGTCATTTTTTCTTCATAGAAACGTTATTGTACAATTTAACATATATGCCTGCCATAGAATTCATATTAAGTACAAACAGAAGCTCATTCTTAACATGGTAGAGATAACACAAGTTTGCCACTTAAAATGAAAATGTACATTTAATTTCATAGTAAATGCTTCTTAGTCAATTAAGCTAAATAATTAGAAGAAGGAAAAAATATTGCATCCATCTGGTTTACCAGGAAAAAGAAATAAAATTCAGTAGTCTCCATGAAGCTGTAAACTTAAGGAAGTAACCATACAAACATTTGACTCCTCAGGCTTCTTTGACTTTTTATTTAGCCTGTGCCACTGTCAGTTTCATATTTAGGTTGCTTACTTTCCACAGCGAATATTCCCATGTCAATTAGTTACATGGTGCTATTATTTGTTCCTGTGAACTAAAGGCAATGCAAAGAATATACCTTTGTATTAGTTGTCATACAGCATGCATTATGAAATTCTTCGTAATCATTGTGTAGTACAGCCTTAACACCAGATTCTTATAGAATTCTTAATAGAGTACTTCTAATAGTACTTCTATTAGTACTTCTTATAAAGTACTTAAATTTAGGATGACAGATAACAATTGCATTACTGTATTCAGATAACCAGCTACCACTTTTTATAGGAAAATTCTTTCCAGTTATTGAGAGAGTATATAAAATATACAGTTGTAATTTTAAAAAATACTTTATTGTTATGTCCTAATTATTTTAAATATCTACTTAGAAATACATATACTGTAATAAGGGTAATATACATACCTATGAATTACTAAGAGGTAAACAGAAAGCAGTGTTTGTGCATCACAACAACTTAAAGTAACAGGTAAACAACTTAAAATTACATGTATTTGAATGTTATACTGGCCCTTAAAGAGACAAAAATGATAAAAACCAATGCATTTTTCATTAATTCTACAGAAAAAAAAAAAAACAAAACAAAACGACAAAAAACCCCAACAAATTACAACAATAATATCTAAGGAAAATATTAGTTCCAGGTGTTTTTTTTACTCCAGTATTACATGCTGTACATAATTGATGAAGCTGAATAACAACATATAGCAGTCAGGGAAGTTAACATCAGAGTGAAGAGGGCAAAAGAGGTCCCTTCTTTATTATTTTCAGCAATACTATCTTTGCATTTATAAAGCTTATCTCAGTACACAGCAGCAGCAGTTGTAAACAGCAGCAAGAGACATACTTACAGCTTTCCATATATTTTGTGAAAATGTTATGAGTAGTCTCTCCATGAAGATTTTTTAAATTCCTGCCTTTTGAATTAAAATTTACTTTGAAGAACAAAAAACTAATCTAAGAGTAACAGACTGAATAAATAGCTTAAATTTAGGGGAACTCAGTCATTTGTTTTGGGCAGAAGATGCATTTGCCCTTAACATCAAAGGGAGCAGGATTAAGTTCTAAAGCTTTACCCTGAAACTTGCAGTTAATTTTCTGGACTACATAGGTGTGGATTTGTCAGGGTAATTCAGAGAGCTCTGCCCTTCTCCATACTGCCACCAGTTTTGTTCATGCAGTGTATGCTCCTTAGTGTGCTACAGGCATGGTTGCATGGCTGCATAGCTCCTCCCATACAGATTAGGGCTATCCCCACCCCATGACTCAGGCCTGGAACACAAATAAGGTTTAAAGGCTTTTTGCAGTAGTTATCAGGTAATCTGAAATACTTGATTTATCACTTCACTGGTCCTTTCAGGCATAATGACACGAACCCTGTGTATACTAAGGTGCTTTAGGAATGTAGTGAACATCCATTCTGCAATAGATTGTTGTGAGTGAGCTTTTGAAGCAGAATACAAGCAACTGCTTGTCTGAATGAAGACAAAGTATTCGATCTTTCATTTTAAAAAGCATAATAAAAATATTTAATTTCCTTAAGGAAAATAAATTCCTGATTTGCCCATGTGTGTTACACACCACTTTCTAGAAGAGCTAATGGCTTAAATTAGTTGTTCTCTTGTGCAGGTAATACAGCATAGTACTCAAGTAAAATAGCCACTTCTACAAGATCTTTTAATTGAATGGTATTTTAAAAGCATTAAATGATCTAGTGATATTCTCACTGAAACCATAATCAAATAGGACTTGTGCCAGACCATAAAATCCAAAACATATTTGGTATTTGAAAATTAAAATTTCAATGTTCTGTATTTTATTTACATATTAATTCACGAACTAAGAAAAAAAATAATTATTTGAATGGATTGCTAAAATAATGGAAAGACTACATCAACATGAATCGGTAACAATCACTCAGAAGTAGATCGAAATAGTATTCCTGAGCTTTGTAATTTTAGAATTACATTTTCCTGGAAATTCATAGATGTATAAGTACACATACATATGCTAGGTGAATTCCAGATAGGTAGCTCCTTAAATTATATTTTATTTCCAAGAGAATGTAAATAGTTTTCCCCTTGAGTTGCAGAGTTGCAATGTATTAAATTAAGTGCAAAGACATAAGGACACACTTTGTTTGCAAGACCAATTATTTACCTTTATTTCAAATTGCTAACTTCAAATTATAAATGCATAAACGATTTTAGGATCTTTTCTATTAACCTGGAACAAAGGTCTGTAATACATTTTTTTCAGAACCCAGTTTACTCTGTCTCTGTTAATACGTGTCATTGGAACAATAGTATTTCCACTACTGAATTACCGTGTTTTCCAGTGCCCTCTTCATTTCTGTGCTTTTAAGCAAAAACATACTTTAAGACAAACTTTGATTCACCCAAAATTACGAATTTTGTAGTAGTTTAAGCATAAGAGAGGCATTTGAAATCTGTATTAAAGACAGCACTATTCAAAAAATCCTAAGCATTGGAGAGATCAGGTGCACTGGTGTAAGATTTTATCCCTTTGTGCAAATAACATTCATCCAGCGCTGAAAGGGTGTGTTTATATGTCACAGGGTATTTACAGCTGTGTCCAGCTGATTCCTGAAGTCGACAGTCAAGGAGTTCTTCCTCTAGAAATGAAAGGAATTTTGTCCAAGTACTGAGCAGCAAATCGACATTAAGTGAGTACCAAAAGACACAGTTAATTCATGGGATGTAAATGCTTCTTCATTATTACCCTGTGCTATAATTATTCAGTTTTACCTGTACAGCGGAACATCAAAAAGTCTTTCAGACCAGGACATGCTCTGTCTCCAAACACTCCTTCACAACACAAAAAATATTTCCAGTAAATCTGGTGGTGGTGGAGCCTGAGCCTCCAGCGAAGGACATTTCACCTGATCAGTATTTTCCCCAGTGCTGGTCCAAAAAGTCCGTTTTTGAAAGTCACTCTCGTTCCCTATGTCCATCTGGAAATCCCTCGCCCCGGCAATGCTTTGAGCAGCGGGTCTTTGGTTCCTGCGGGGCGGCCTCTCACGTCCACAGAGAACGGGCATGAGCGGCGACAGTCACTCCAGCGAGTGTCCCACCTGCAGGGGCTGCCGCCCTTGAGGGTTCAGTTTAAGGGCTGTTTCCAGGTCTGCCTCCTGCGAGGCAGCCTTCGGCAGTCCTCCTCCTCGTCCTCTCCACCATGCTTAGGCAGGACAAAAAGAAACCAACCAACCAACCACCACCACCAACAAAAAAACCCGAACAAACAAACAAAAAACACCAAAACGTATATTCTTTTTCCAAGAGAATCCCTTCTTCACAGTTCCTCAGAGCAGGTTTAAACGTAAGCTTCGGTCTCGTTCCGCGCACCAAAAGGCAGGGAGGAAGGGGAAAATAAAAAAAGAAAAAAAAATAGAGAAGGTCGTGCAGCAACCGGAGGGGTGTGGAAGGGAGAGGAGCTACGGAGGGGAGACTACCGGGAGAGGCGAGGCAAGGGAGCCCCTCCAGCTGCAGCGGCGGAAGCGGCGCTGGTGGAGCGAGGGAGCGATCGGGTGAGGAGGAGGCAGCGGAGGGAAGGGGGAGGTTGCTGGTGTTTGGCGCCGGTGGAGGGAGTCATTCCTGCCGCTGCACTTCCGGTCGGCATTTTGTTCTGAGAGGGAGCGAGAGAGACACACAGGATCCTTCCCCCTCCTCCTCGCCCTTCTCTCCCTCTGCCCCCCCGCTCGGTACCGACTCACCGTGCCCAGGCCGCCCCTCCCCGCCCTCCTGCGCTCGCACTCTCGGAGGGAGCGGCGGCGGCGGCGGCCCCTTGGCAGCGCTGCCCCTCGGCCACCCTCCGCTCTCCCCGGCTCGGAACCGGTTCGGCGCGGCGCGGCCCGGCCCGGCCCGTGTTGATGTTGTGAAGCAGGCTCGGGGGGAAGGGATTTGCCTCGGCCGCACACCCCCCGGCTCTACATGTTCGCTGCACTGAGGAGGAGACGGAAGAGGAGCCAGCCCCCCTCCCGGCCCGGATTATTGTTGTTATATTATCTCCCCTCCTCCTCCTGCTCCGCGGCGGCGGCGGCGGCCCAGCGGCGGCGGCGGCTCCTCTGAGGAGGGAGGGGGGCGGATTTCTCTCCCCCCCTCTTGGATTCTCGTTGGATTCAGACGCCGATTTGCTCAGGTAATCCCCCCTCCTTGTCTCCCCTTCCCCTCCCTGCCCTCTCCAGCAGCGGGCTGGGCCTCTCAGCCCAGCGGCCCAGCACTGCCGGGAGCAGAGGGGATTAGCTGCTATCCAGGGTAGAGGGGAGTAAGTGGCAACCGGAGGTGTTTATTTCGCAGCCCCCCCTTCCTTCTCGGTCGGGTTTGGCGGAGGTGGATGGTTCGTGCCGGGCTGCCGGAAGGCCCAGGCCCGGCGGAGGGCGCAGGCCCGCCGGCCAGCGCCTTTACTCCAGCTCGGGGATTAGAAAGGCGAAGCGGCTGCTCAGTGACAGGCCTCAACCCGAAAAGAGCAGCAGGAGGAGGAGGAGGAGGAAACAATGCAATTAGTCGCAAATGTGCATTGATCCTTTCCCATATTTACAACTTCACCTAGGGCAAGGAAGGAGGGTCCCAGCGCAGACAGCCCTTTGAAGTGGGACAGGAGTAAGTGGAGGCGTAGGGAAGGAGACAATGTAAATACTCAGGAACAAAAATGCCACTTGTCTTTGCTATCACCTTATTCTTCTAATCAAGTGTGATCTGAACATTCAAAAGTTTAAATGCTTTGTTTTTATAATCTGCAGACGTCTCATTTCTAAATAACGTTATTGATTAGTATGTTAATGACTTAGTATATTTATAGCATAAAATAGTGCTTGAAGGATATTGACACAACATTGGACACCTGCAGACCCAGGAAATACAGGTAGCCAAGCATATTGTATCAGGTACTCCACACAATTTTTGTGTCTGTGTCCTGTATACACTACAGGAATATATGTTAAAGGAAGGAATGCCATTTTCTGCTTCTAGTAAACAGAAAACAAGCAAGGGATCGTGTGTAAAATGCTGTGTTTATGACATTTAAGGGACCAGGGTGAAGATAAGATCTTAACCAAAGTACTTCAGAATCACATGTAAATTTATTTAAGTGCAATGTGAGGAATGCTTAAAAAGTGTCATCTTTTCTTGTCAGGCTATATCACTTTGAGATCCTGAGGCTGTTATTGGCTGTTTGTGTCTATGATGTTTGAATATGTAATTAGGCATAATTTTTACAGGTCAACTGTGTTTTGAAAATGACTGTTATTAGTCTCATGTCTTTATAAATAAATAGTAGCTGACGTGCAATAAAGTAAATCTAAGACTTGTAAGTGGTAGAGTTGTAAGTGTTGCTAAAAACTTAGGCACATTTAAACAAACACCCTGTGAACTAATAAAAATACTTCTACAGAAATTACATTGCTGCAAGAAATTTTAAGATACAAAGTTTCCATCCTTGTAGCGAGGAGTTTTGTTAGTGGCAATCGTTTATTGATACTAGATAATTTGTTAAATTTTCAGCAGGCTTTTTGGTTATTCAGGTAGATTTGCTGTTATAATATATGGTTACTATATCTAATAAAGTAACTTTCTGGGGCGTTGTGTTCAGAGACTTGTAAACGAAACTGCTACCGTGCCTCCCGCGTGCCCTGATACATGTTTAAAAGGGTGAAGTTAATATAGCTGTCACGTAGAAGGCGTGTTTTTAATGCTGTAAATCCGTGTAGTAGTCAGTAGCGTGTCCGTGATTTGTATTGGTCAGGGAGCAGTTTGAATTTTAAAAAGCCAGAAGATCCTGCTGAGCCCCAATCGCGGCCTCCCTTCCTCCCACTAATCTCCCATTCCTGTCTTTGTGCTGCCTGGTCCTGTTAGACACTGTTTGCAACAGGGCCTCAGGCCTACGTGCGTGGAGAGGAACCATTTACAGTTCGAAAAAGCAGCTTTTTATTTTTAAACTTTGTAAAATGCAGAGGGAGCCACTAGTCGTCTCTAACTGTCCCCACCTCGGTGTCTAACAGCAGAATTGCTGTTTGCTTTTGCCGTGTAGTGTACAGTGGACACCGAGTGTAACTCTGCTTCACAGGAAAGAAAGGACTGTGCAGAAGTAGTTGTAGTTCTTGGGTAGTTTTCATCATCAGGAAGCGACATTACAGCCCTAGCGTTTCTTGCGTCTATGTTTCAGGCAGCTGCCGTTCTAAGAAGAATGTGTTTGTTGAGCTAACAGTAGTGAACTTTTCTGACTGATTTTTCATTTAAGGAGGGTTGCTTTAAATATTCTCGATATGAGCAGGAAATGAGCTACTGTAGTTACACAGTTCCTGTCAAGTTTATCTTGCCAGGGCTGTGTGGTTGTGTTTACAGCACCCTTTTTTTTTTTTTTTTCCCTTTTTTTTTTTTTTTTTTTCAGAACGGATGCACTTTTCTGGAATGAAAAACACTTGTATTTTTTTCCCATTATATAAAGGAAAATATAAGATGTTGTCAATTTTAATTGTAATTTGTTTTTTGGGTTTGTTCTTATGAGCCATATGTGGTTAATCTGGAATTAGTTGCTTGATCACAGTTTATATAGTTTAACAGAAATATTTAAAATTGAAATATTTATAAGAGGACTTATTTTCCTTTTGAATTGCATGTTTTATCATATTTGAGAGTGTGTGTGTGCATATGTGGAGCAGGCCTGTAGCACTTTCATACTACTTTTCTCCTGATGTTAGGAGCTTCTGCTGGCTCTGGTGTTTATCATAGCAGCTAGCTGCTTAAAGACAATGTATTTATTTTATTGATGTTGTAGAAATACAAAACTAATTATTCTCAAGAGGCTAGTTGTAACTATTACTTTATCAAAAAGAGGAAAATGCTTATTTCTACATTTTATTTTGCACTTTTGCCTGCTTTGTGCATTTTGAGTTTACTTACTCTGCACAGGTTAGTTTTTTTCCTCTCAAATTTTTGAACATTTTACCTGAAGTTAGTCCAACACAAATCTCTTCCTGAAGTCTTTTACTGTTGATTCAAGCTGAAGCTGGTTTTTTACTTGTAAAAAATCAAGACACAGAAGCAGGCATACCAGTAAAATAATATATTTTTTTAAAATTTGCAGTGTTTAAATTTTGACTTAGAAGCAGGACGGATCAGAGAAGCAAAATTATATACCTAAGCCCTTTTGAATGTCATTATTCTACATAAAAGCACAGGTACCCCATGAAACCTTATGCTTGGGACTCCATGTATATAAATGTTATTCTTGAAGAATCAAGGACATAGATAGTAATTTCCTTAGGACAGAAGAGTTTTGTTTGTGTTGTTGCATTAGTGTAATTATTAAGGTACTACAACTTTAATCCTAAGTGTTTCATATATATAGTTCTTTGCAATATAAATAAACTATATTTTGGAGTATACTAGGTGAAAAATATTACATTACAAAGTGTTGGACTAATTGTATTGCATTTATATTAATATTTCATAAAAATTGCACAAGGCATATGAAGTTTCTGGATAAATACTGTAACTAGAGAGAAAAAAAACCAAACTTTTATCCTGAATATCTAGGCCTAGGAAAGAAATCAAGTCTTCAAATTCACAACTTTATGATTTCTAGAAATTATGTTAAAGGAGTGTGTAATATTCATGAATGTGTGTAATTTGGATAACAACCATGGGAATACTGAATCAGAAAAATATGAGTAGCAATAGCTTGAGAATTTGTTGAGTGTAGGTGTGAGGTGGGTCAGCTGGCATTAGGGTGGCTATTTAGTATCACAAAACACTAAAAGTATTTAACATTTGAATGTTAAAACGGCCATTTCAGTATCATACCACTTATTTTTTATCTTGTTTTTGATTTGCCTTTATTAGAAGTAGTTTGGGTTAGGTTAGCATCTGATTTTGAAACATCAGCAGTAATGAACAATCAGTTGCAGAGAAACCTGCAAGGAAATGCTTGAAATTGGTTATACCTGTGTATTTTTGCTAATAACTCTGTACAATAATGATCCCTTTTAATAATAAAAAAGGAAGTATTCTTGAAATTAAGAAAACAAGTATTTAACAATTACAAAGTCCTTAATATAATTAATCTACATTTGTATTTTTATTTTCTTTCTATTATAAACATAATTCTTAGTTGCTGATCCTGACCCCCAAAAGGTGCAAAAGAAGTGCTTTATATTGACATGTATGACACCCCATGTGTAAGGAAATTGCGTTTGAGGAGATCGTGTAGCACCTGTCATTTGTGTTTCACTTCCTGTCCCTACTGCTAACCATGGAAAATCTCCCCATCAAAAGGGAGGGAAGAGAGCATTTTGGCCCAACTGTATGTGGAAACCAAAAAGGATTCCAGTCAGATTGAATATGATTGTTGATACGTATTTTAAGGTGATTACTTGGTCTACACAAATAACTTCAAAATAATGTAAATATCCAAGACCAGTTTTCATGTTGAAGTGATAAAAAATTCTAGAAAAGGTAATTTTATGGCCTTTAGAATTTGTATTGGTTTTAAGTGTAAGTAATCAGAGATCTCAGATTCTTTTTGTATTAGTAGAGAACTAAATTTTTAATTTTATTGCTGTGGTTTGATTTGAAGTGCTCTGGTTTTTGTAGCAGTGTATATGTGTAGACATGCAATGCATTTTAGTGGAAC